CAAAGTTCACCGGCCCCCCTCGACCGCCAAGTTTCCCCTTTAATTCTCCAGCCACCATGGAGGTCCATCATCGGCGAAGCTCCCTGGCGCCACCGCGGTCCAGGCCGTCATCGAGCGGGCAGGCAGCGCCTTCGCCGCCGAGGGCGGGGCTCGACGCCACCGCCGCCCCAGCAGCAGCCGCCGCCGCCGCCGATCGAGGTGACCCATCTGCGAGGCCCAGCAGCACGTCATGATCCGCATCTCGGATCAGGGCGGTGGCATCCCCACCAACGAGCTCCGTACCTCTGGTCCTTCAGCAGCGGGCCCCAGAGCCGCCGCCGGCTCGAGAACCTGCGCCGCGTCCCCAAGCTCGCCGCCACCATGCAGGAGCTGCACGTCTCGGACGAGCTCGGCCGCGCCGACCTCAAGACGCCGAGCTACGAGAGCTCCCTCGCCTCCCTCACCGGCCGCCCGCCCAACCTCCGCCTCGGCATCGGCCTGCCCCTGAGCCGCGTCTACGCCGAGTACTGGGCCGGCGGCCTCGAGCTGCACAGCCTCTGGGGCTACGGCGTCGACGCCTTTTTGCAAATCTCCAAGCTCGGCAACAAGAACGAGCAGCTGACGACGAGGGCGTCCATGGACGCGATATGAGTCCTGGGGGTGTGTGCCGGGCGGAATAGAATCCATCGACCGATAGGGAGGGAGGGGAGGGGGGGAGCAGCATTTGTTTTTGTTCGCCTTCAAACCTCGTGCCCGACAAACCTCTACAGTTGCACGGACGGGACACGGGGTTTTTGAGCAATGGAGGATCGGAACGTCAGGGAAGACGGAAGGGGCTCAGCGACTTGGGTAGCATCGGTTTTATGAATTTTAACCTACTGGGTTTTCTCATCCTCACTTTTGCAATGCACACACACACACACACACACACACTGCCTTCATTCAACATGCACATGAGACGATGGTGTGGCGTTTCTTGGTATCATGAACAGGTGAGCTATTACATCGTACGTAGCCTCAAGTACTAAAAGGCGGCCGACTAAGTTTGGCATAACAAAAAAAGGGGGGGTAGTAGCTGCAATGGGAAACAGAGAACGGACGCATGTGGAGAAAAATCGGGAAACGCCAGCCTGCCTCGCCCTCTCGCTCGCAGAGGTGCTGGAAGACCTCATAGGTCATTTGGGGGGAGGGGAGGGGGAAAGGAGCATGCGCAGAACTTCATACATGCAGCACACACACACTCTCTCTCTCGCCACCCCCCTAAACCCTTCCCGCCCTACGGGAACAGAAAAGAACTTTTCCGACCGCTGGAGGCGCAAGCGAGCAAACAAGTAGGCAGATCCGTGAGCACGTTGGAGAAGCATCGAGCTTTTCGGTCGTTGTCCACTCCAAACCACGAAAACGGGGACCGCCGAGCGACGAGGGAGAGGTGTACGGTCCCGCGGAACCAGCCCGGACACGGGACGCTTAACGGCGGCCGTGGCTGCGAATGGCGCCGGTGCTCCTGCATGGCCTCGAGCTCCGTCTCGAGTTGTTTGATCTGGGGCGTGTGTTCTGCTCGAAGTCCTGTTGAGGCGGTCGCGCTCGGCAATGAGCTTCTGCTCCACTGCGGAAGCGCTGCTCCTCGATCTTGACCTGCTCGGTGAAGCGCTTGCGCAGCGCCTCCTCCTCTCCTTGAACTTGGGGTTGTCGAGCTTGCGGGGGCGGGCCTCGCCGAACTTGCGCGTCTCCATCTGCTGGGCGCGGTAGGCCTCGTAGTGCAGCTCCTCGGTGGTGTGGATGAGGTCGAGCATGTGGGTGCGGATGAGGATGGAGCGCAGCTTCTTGAAGTCGCAGTGGTCCTCGTTCTCGACCTCGGCGACACCCCACGAGTACTGGCGACCCTTGACGATGCGGCCGTCGCCCGTCTTGACGTCCTTCTCGGAGCCAATGACGGCAAAGGGCATGGCGGCCATGAGGCTGCGCGCGTGCTGGGCGGCGGCCTCGTCATCCTCCTCGATCGGCGGCTGGTAGATCTTGATGTTCTGGGCCTCAATGACGGCTTGGATCTGGACAAGGGCTCTCTGTTAGCGGATGCTCACCGCTCCACGGGCGGACGGACGGAAGAAAAGAATGAGAAAATAGGCGTACCCTTTGCTTGAAACGGGCGAGGTCAGAGGGGCTGAGGGTGTCGGCCTTGGCAATGACGGGGATGAGGTTGACTCTGGAGCACAGCCTCTTCATGACCTCAATGTCGAGGGGCTTGAGGGTGTGACCGGTGGGACGGATGAAGTACAGGCAGGCGTGGACACGGAGATCGATCTTGTCCTGACGGCGGGGCTGCTGCTCCTGCAGCATGTAGGACTCGTGCTGGTCGTCGAGGAACTCGATGATGGGCATCCACGAGTCCCTGTTGTTGACGTAGTCGCCGAAGCCGGGGGTGTCGATGACGGTCAGGCGAACTGTGCAGGTCAGCCTCTGGTCATCTCCTATCATGGACGGAAAGGGGACGTGTCAGGCCTACCCTTGAAGAACTTCTCCTCGAGCTCGGCCTTGGTAATCTCAATCTCGACCGTCTTGTCGACCTGCTTCTGGTGTCGTCGCTTGTGGTCGGCATAGTTCTTGATGGTCGTGGAGAACAGCGTGTTGATGAAGGTGGTCTTTCCGAGGCCAGACTCGCCGGCAACCTGTTGGTATCCCGTCAGCATGGTGGTTTGATCAAGACAGACGCATCATTGCACAGAGAGGAACGGACCATGATGGTGAAGCCAGCTCCCCTCTTGGCGACAATCTTGTGACGCTGGTTAGGGAGGTTGGCAATGCCAATCGGTGAGGCGCTCTCGGCGGCGGTGGGAGGAGCCATCTTGAATGAGTGTTGATGATAATCCGTCACAGAGTCAATGGCGGTGTTCTGGAAATGGAATCGACGCGAGCTGGAGTGAACGATGCACGCAGATGGGTCGAGGGCAAGGTCGAGGTTGGTCAGGCTCTTTTGGGGGGTTTATCGAAGGTCGAGAAGTATGGGTTGACCGTTGGACGGGGGTCGGGCCAAAGATGCTGAGCTGTGCTCGTGCTTTCAGAATCAGGGGGGGGGGAAACTGCCCGCCAAATTTCCCTGCCGGCTTCTGGGGGGGAGACAAGCGAAAAGGGAATGAGGAGTCCCCTTTTTCTTGCCCAATGAGGGAGCCGTCCCTGGATCCTGAGCAAGACGCCGCCTTTCCTTCTTGAGCGTAGCGCACCTGGTGGGTCGCAAGGAGCTCTGGAAGAATTATCCACCGGCCCCCCGCCGAAAGTTTTCTTATCGATAAGCATTTTCTCGATCGGAGGCAGGAAGGACCAAGAACCAAGAAGCCCACCAGAGAAATGCGACGACGACCACGATTCCCAGACGTCAGTGAAGCGGCGCCCAGGCCATCATGAAGACCGATTTTAAGGTGAGACCTCGCCTCTTGCCTTTGAGACTCACCGCTGACTGACCGCCCCAGTTCTCCAACTGCTCGGTACGGTGTACTGCCAGGGCAACCTGCTCTACAGTCCCGACGGCACCAGCTCTTACTCGCCCGTCGGCAACAGAAGTGACCGTCTTTGACCTGGTCAAGTACGGCCCTCGTCACTCCTGTAGCCATTGATGAGACCATACAGCTGACATGGCGTCCCTCGCAGCAACAAAGTCGCACCCGCTTCCCTTTGCCCACCGCAAGAACATCGCCCGAATCGGCTTCACGCCGCGGGGCACCTCCTGCTCTCCGTCGACGGAGGACGGCCACGCCATCCCTGACCCAATGTCCCAGCGCCGAATTAGCGACCTATCACTTTCTCCTTCCGCGGCAAGGTCACGGCCCCTCGCCTTTGCGCCTCGGCCCGTCACTTCGCCGTCGGCCTCGGCCGCAAGATCGAGGTCTGGCACGTCCCCTCGACGCCCGACTCGAACGCCGCCGGCGAGCTCGAGTTTGCGCCCTTTGTCAAGCACCACACCCACACACAACACTTTGACGATGTCCGCCATATCGAGTGGTCCAGCGACTCGCGCTTCTTCCTGAGCGCGTCCAAGGACATGACGGCGAGGATATGGAGCCTCGACCCCGAGGACGGCTTCGTGCCCACCGTGCTCTCGGGCCACAAGCAGGCCGTCGTCGGCGCCTGGTTCTCCGAGAACCAGGAGACCATCTACACAGTCAGCAAGGACGGCGCCGTCTTTGACTGGCAATACGTCGGCAGGCCGAGGCGGCAGGAGCATGCCGACGACGACGACGACGACGACGACGACGGCATGGCGCTGGACGACAAGGAGGCCGACATGCGGTGGAGGATCGTCAACAGGCACTACTTTCCACCAAAACGACGCCAACGTGCGGTGCGCGGCGTTCCACCCGGAATCCAACCTCCTCGTGGCCGGCTTCTCCAACGGCATCTTCGGCCTCTACGAGATGCCCGACTTCAACCAGATCCACACGCTCAACATTTCCCAAAACGAAATCGACTTTGTCACGATCAACAAGAGCGGCCAGTGGCTGGCCTTTGGCGCCTCCAAGCTCGGCCAGCTCCTCGTGTGGGAGTGGCAGTCCGAGTCGTACATCCTCAAGCAGCAGGGCCACTTTGACTCGATGAACTCGCTCGTCTACTCGCCCGACGGCCAGCGCATCGTGACCATTGCCGACGACGGCAAGATCAAGGTGTGGGACGTCGAGTCGGGCTTCTGCATCGTCACCTTCACCGAGCACACGAGCGGCGTGACGGCGTGCGAGTTTGCCAAGAAGGGCAACGTCCTCTTCACCGCCAGTCTCGACGGCTCCATCCGCGCCTGGGACCTCATCCGCTACCGCAACTTCCGCACCTTCACGGCGCCCACGAGGCTGTCCTTTTCCTGCATGGCCGTCGACCCCAGCGGCGAGGTCGTCGCCGCCGGCTCGCTCGACTCGTTCGACGTGCACATTTGGTCCGTCCAGACGGGCCAGCTGCTCGACCAGATGTCCGGCCACGAGGGCCCCGTGTCAGCCCTCGCCTTTACGCCCAACGGCGACTCGCTCATCTCCGGCAGCTGGGACCGCACGGCGCGCATCTGGTCCATCTTCAACCGCACCCAGACGAGCGAGCCGCTGCAGCTGCAGGCCGACGTGCTCGACATTGCCGTCCGCCCCGACTCGCTGCAGCTCGCCGTCTCGACGCTCGACGGCCAGCTGACCTTCTGGTCCGTCACGGACGCCGAGCAGGTCGCCGGCGTCGAACGGCCGGGCCAACGTCTTCGGGGGGCCGCAAAGCCCCGGGACCGCCGGACCGGCGGCCAAAGTCCGCCGGACCCAAGGCCCTTTAAACAAGAACCCCTATCAGAAACCGAACGG